CTGTGTTAAGTCCAAGGATGTGAAAAAAGATACAAATCCTAGATCTATATCTATATAGCGAAAATAGACATGTCTATTTCCAGGTCTATATTAGAACTATCTAAGAACCTGAAGGAAGATAGATCCCAAAACTACATTAAGCCTGGAATCCAACTGAGGGAGAGGTTGAGCAGTCTCATAAAGCTCGCTGGACTAGGGACTGACAATCTGACACAGGAATCATAGAAGAACTTTCGAAATCTAGATGATGTTGGACTGATATATAGCCCTGCATCCACTATTATTACTATTATTACCATCATAAATAAATATAAAACAGGCTATACTTATGAGATGTATAATTATAGCAATTAAATTCTCTCTTAATTAAATTGTAATCTCAAAGACGTCAAGATTTTTTACTTCTTCGATCAAAATACCATGTTTTTAATGACGCAAAGTAATTAGGTAAATGATATGAATAAAAGTATCAATAATTCACAAAATAACGTAATCAGAAAAGTAATGTAATTCCTCTTATCGGTAAAAAGCCTCAAATAACTTTTTTTCGCGATAAAATATAACAACTGTTTAGCGTGGAAATAAAATCCAAATCCTTTAACGTAAAGAGTTAATGAAACATTTATCGGGCCGATAATCCTAAAGTATTGTGAGGAATTGAGCGTGACTGTATTACAACACTGTAATACGGAGTCACGCGATATATCAGAACACGCGAAAAAATACACGACGTAGATACTATTAATAATGCTTCATTCAAGATCCACCGTGATACTTTATTGTAGCTCCTAGAAATGTATTTATGAATTGAATAAAATTTCCAATTCGAAAGTGCATCAAAACTATTAAGTTTGTCAATTATTCTTTTCATCCCTTTTTTTCGCTTACTTTCTCTTCCGAAAGATATTTTCAATCAATCGATGTGCGGCGGAAATGAGATGAATGTAAGGAGAAGTTAGAATTTTTTAATTTAAAAAGTTTTGTTTAATTTAAAATATTTGTTAAATTGTATTTCATATATAAGAAATCAATGGTAGATTTCTAAACACAATCACTGGCCATTTCTACATAATAATCTAATATGATATACTTCTTTTTTTCAGTTTTGGTCAGCCTACGTTCCTTGCGGTGCCGCTCAGTTAAATGCAGTTCAACTCTCATTGGAACAGATTGACGTGATTCGTCGACTCGCTGAAATGAATGCTCAACACTTAACCCTGGTTACCTCCGTCAAAGGTGAATACACACATTAACATTGACATATATCTCCAACGAAAAAAACAAAGTTTAATAACAATATTTAATACTGTTATTAAATTAACATTTAATAACTATGATAACAATATATTTCATACTGTTATTAAATTAATAAGATTATTTTTCAGTCAGACTGCTATTAGCTAATACTGCTGATACATTATTCTTTCCATGTACAATTTTTTCATCATATTATGTGAATAATATGCGTAACAATAATTTTCTTCATATTCAGATATCAGCTATTTCTTCCTTTTTTTAAATTTAATGCAAGAGATTGCAATTCGATATTAGATGTAATATTTGTGCTATTTAATTTTTATCAATTTAAAGACGTGAAATTATCTTCTTTTTGCATCTTTGTAAGTATTTGATAACTACGATTATGTATAATTAACCAATTAATAAATGAAAATGAATTACGAACAAATATTATCTAATAATATACGAACAACGCAAATTGTGTCAAGCAAACGCAAATGAAAAGTGAAGATCGTTGAGTTGAGTATAAGAAATGTCAACAATACCAAAGCGCGTACAATGAATGTGAATCTCTAAAGTATTATTGAATGAAAGAATCTCCGTTGTGTCATCAGGAGCAATTCAGTTTATTTGAACTGAACCTTTTGTAACTGAAAGAATTCTCGTGACCGCCGTATTATGTTATTAAATGTAACACGCTAACCGGTAGTACCAATAGATATGAAAGCGACGGTCTCAGAGAAACTTTCTCATCGATTCGAGAGGATAAAGGACCGCTATTAATTGCTCGACTTCTCCGAAGTTGAAGAGGAAAGTCGTTATTGGATTCGATTCGATGGCGTAACTTAGGTATTGTAGAAGATTTATCAGCAGTAGACAAAAGTATTATGCTATCGCCCATGCCATAATCTACGGAGGGTCCTTGCTAATTCACGAAATATCAGAGACAATATTCGACATAATAAAAATATTAAGATTAGGAGAAATAATACCTGTCGGATCTATGACGGACCTTTACTATTTAATTCGTGCTTCGAACTGATCTGAGCTAATTCCCAAGCAGAACAACAAGTCACGATATCGTCAAAATAACGTTAAAATGAATCGTGATTGATTGAAAAGTGACTTTTAATAATCACTTTAGAGCCATTTTAATGTCATAATGACTTGTATTCTGTTTAAATACCAACTAATTTATTATCATTTTAATGTTATGGATATTTGATTGCTTAATGTAGTAATTAATTATCGTCACATTTGCATTGCACGCACATTTGAAATATTTTATACAAATCAAAAGAAAATAGTATAAAGCAATAACATCATATAGTATTTCGTATTTTTAAAAACATTGTTACAAACCATTAGATATATCAAAAGTTTATCTCAATACAGTAAAAATTAAAAAAAAGTTAAAAAGATTACGAATGTTGAATGCAAATTTTTTTGTTTAGCGAACGTCCATTAGTGCTGATGACTGGTTGAGCCACCACTATTTTTAACAAAAACTCATTTAAGTTAAAAATTGATGGGTCAATTTATCGTCTGTTAACGAGAATTTATAGAATGTTGGTGAAATCGACTAATGGAGAATAAATTTCATCGATATGCAATAGCTACTTTTACAATATACCTATAGAGAAAAAAGAGAAAATATGCCGAGGCAACACCGATGCTAAAATAAAGAACAAACTGCCTGAAAAGAAAGAAAATGCCAAGCAGGAGAGGATAGTGGGAAAGATATACGAAAGCTTGCGAAAGTTTTTGCAACAAGTAACTCACTTCGGAAACCCGACTGCCATTTTCATAAGCTCGTTGAAATCGAATCGAGGTTACGCGAGAAAGAGATAAAAACATAACATTTTACGTAAACTTTTGCAAATATTGCTGTATAAATAACTGAAAAACGATTAAAAGTTAATGGTAATTAGCGAATAGTTCGAGCAATGCAAGTAAATTGTATAATGAAAGGCGCTCAGTTTAATTCAGACGGTAATTGACTTTTTATCACAAAGAAACCTAATCTTCATATAATTTTAATTTAAACTTTTGTCAAAATATCTCACGTTAAAAACTAAGTAATCCTTACGGTTGATAAATTACAGTTGATCTTCCGATAACGAAAAATTTGATTCTTTCCCAACGAATATGCTTATGCAAATGGACAGTTGATTAGACACATATGCGAAATCAAGTTACGAACGCCGTTGAAATATGAAAAGGTTTATGAAGAGCAAGTGAAGAAATGGGACTGGCACGGCTTCGCAACGAAAGTCTCGCAATGGAACTTACCGCGAGTAACTCGGTCTGGAAAGCTGTCAGCCATTTTCATAAGCTCGAGAAACTTCGCCAAGTGGGAAGTGGAAACGAGGTCGCGGCATGAAGAAGGTAAAAGGTGGAAAAGCCAGCGGCTCGTGCACGCGAACCTGTCCCACAACAGTGTTTGGAACAGACAAAAAACTGTGATTTCGAAATATATCGCGTTGAATTTGACGAACCAAGAAAACACTATTAATTAATTCTAACAGTATTCGCTTTGAAATTTCTTTAACTAGTATTCGCAAATCGAGTGCACTTCAAATTCGTTGCTTAAAGTTACGTAAATGATTTTTTCATTTTGAAGATCAAAATTCGAGGAATAAAATTATATAACTTAAAATTGTATAAGGTTGTGAAAAATATTTAAACAATTTTTCATAACATAGTTGAAGTAAATGTCTAAATCCATTGGATCTGCAAGTATGATTAGGGTTAAAAAAAAATAACTAGTAGAATATTTTATAGTGCACTCTGATTTCTTTTAGCTCATATAGGGAAAAAATATGTATATAACAGCAAAAACAAGTATTATATGTATGAAGTTTATACGATCAAAAAATAAAATCGTTGATAATAATATAAATTAATTATTTACAATAATTGTTATAACAATTAACTTATTTTATATAATTAATTTGCAAATAATTAGTTCATTTTATATAATTAGTTATTTACAATAATTAATTGTATAAAATAAATCGATTTACGATAATTGTCTTAATTTAGTCCTAAATTTATTTCTTTCAATAATAAATTATGTTTTAACATCATTTTCGTATAAAATTCGTGAAATCTTTATAGATATTACATTGTATTGCTTGAATATCAAATGGATTTTAGATGTTCATGTATTGTATAATAAGCTTACTATATAAAATATAGTATCAATTAATATAAAAACGGGGACATTATTGAAGTAGAGGACATATTCATTTCGTTTTATTTTTTAGGAAAAGGCAAGCTGCTTTCGAGCGAGCTTCGTTCAAAGCAGCAAAGGTAGGGAACAGTTACAAGAGAAGATTACAGCTTTTTAATTTTCGAGATCAGTGGCGCGTTTCTCTAAAGAGAATATGCGGCTTTCTTGTATCAAGATAAAAGGTATTAAATCCTATTAAATGCTATAAAACGCTTTAGCTTATCGTATGGCATGATAAAAGGATGAACCAAGCGAGCGCGTAAAAACTTTAGGTTAATATCAATTTATTATTGCAGTTTTTCTTTGTAATTATTCAATGTTTTTTAATTATAATCCTATATCCTCGGATTTATTTTATATAAAAATTTATAGCTATTACGATCCATAAATTCAATTAAATTTTAATTATATTGACCAGCATCAATAACAGTCAATAACTTACGCAAAGAAATAAACAAAATATCGTAAATAGTGTGGGTATAATAACAAAAAATGTGTGAGAACTTTTATTGATAAAGAATGGAAAGCAACAGGATGATAAAAGTTTATGAATCTGACGAATCCACATCATTAATCCTGAGGTTAGAGAGGGTATCCATAAAGACCGTAACTCCTAAGAGGAGATTCCTGCAGAGACTATTTTGAGATGAAAATCCTAACACTAAAATATCGAGGCTAATAATTTTTTGATGTAATAAATATCAATCAATTAGAAATATCAATAATTTTATCTTTGCATATCGTAATCTTTATATCGATATTAAAAAGAAGTGACAATTAGTTTCCGCTTTTATAGCGTTTTGCATTGTATCGAACATTTGAACGCACAAATTTTAGACAGTATGATTCGCCAACTTTAAATGCTTATAATTCAAAAACTATTAGGGGAGACCGAGGATAGTTGATACATGGGGTATGTTCTTACATTTAAAATTGCTGCAAAACAACAAACGATAATATTACATAAAAAATATAGTATTTCCATAAAAACATTGCGGTCATGCTGCAATAAGTTATTTCAGACTGAATAGCATATTTTTAGAAATAGAAAATATTTTCGGTTTTTCATAGCCAAAAGTAAAATAAATCAGTAATATATAAAATGTTATATTTATCAATCTGTTCACCATATCATAATTTCAACTATTTCTATAGAATTCTTATTTTATAAACAACATCTTACGGTTATACCTATTAACGTCTTAACATATATTTTTTGCATAAGTAATAATTGAAATACGTAAATATGACACCCCGGGCCTAGTTGTGACGGGGTGTGTTGTTACAGGTGTTTGCTTCTCCGCCCTCACACCTAACCTCAACATAATCTATTGTAAGCGTAATAGCGGCAACCAAATGGTAATCTTATATAAATTTATATTTTTATTTCTGTGATATGTAAGAAAAAAAGAAAACTGTTTAGATATATCATAAACGTTATTAATGTTACATAAATATCATTTTAAAATTATTAATGAAGTATATATATATATATATATTTCTTTTTATTTCATTTAATTAAATGTGTAATATTTTGAAATCTGGATATGTAACAAGTGACCTCAGTAACTGTAACATCCGACCGCGCATATGGGGTAAGTTGTTACAAGGTGCATGATTTTATATTTTTTATTAATACTAGAAAGTTAATCATATTATTAAATCATAAAAATAATTTTTGTGTAGTATAAGCATATGGCTATTGCAAAATGACCCCTTACGGTTTAGATTCTATTTATTAGTTACGAGCAAAAAATTCCTTAAAAAAAACTGTATCAACTATCCCTGGTCTCTCCTATATCCTCGACATTTTGGTATTAGAATTTTAATATTAAAATGATCTTAAGAATCTATCCTTAAGCATTGTCACGTCTTTACCGGACACCCTGTAGATATAAAATTTTATATAGGTATACTTTTAATATTGCAGCAAAGCGGATTTTAAATCCAGGATATGCAGTTAAATAAATAACTCGCGCAAATCGACATATTCGATATAAAGTACGATAAATCAGAAGGCTTTAATATCCCACCACGCCGTCTGGGTGCAGTCTGAAAGTTTCAATGAGGCGATTGACAGCACTCCTGAAAGCACTTCCGAAAGCGGATCTGAAAGCCGATTTTTACCGATCTTTTCATTCATTCCCGCGACCGACTTTCCGAGATTCCGTCCGATCTCTTCACCCGACGAAAGTCGTAAATAATCTATGAACACCATAATTCCACGATCCCGAGGCCCTGCTTAATCTCATAAAGTGTCACTTTAATCTCGCTCAGGGAAAAAAAAAGAGAAAAATTATAAGACGGGGCGGACACGAAAAAACGGAAACTTCGCTGATTCACGGAAGAAGCTGTAATTCGGCCGAGAGCAAAGTTCACCGAAGATGATTCGAAGTTCCGCGGCAAGATGAGCCTCAAATAACTCCGTGTACCTACTTGGGTGATTCCCGAGGTTTAAATATTCTGAGTTTGACAAGTTCATCGTGGATAGTACTACTACAGTTTTTAGTTTCATGTTTACAACGTTAAATTGCTAAAACGTGATGAAACTTTTTATAATTTTAAGAAGATAAAGAGAATATGACACACACACACACACACACACACACACACACCGAGTTTTTTTATTAAATCATGATATACCACAATATATGTGTAGGTCTCATCGAGGCGCATAGAGAAGGCAAGATCGCAAGTCTAATCGGAGTAGAAGGTGGCCATTCCTTGGGGAATTCCTTGGGTGTCCTCAGGACGTTTTACGGTCTGGGAGCGCGATATCTTACTCTGACACATGCGTGTGACACCTCCTGGTGAGTATAAATTACGAGGGAGCGCATAAGAACCTGTCTTGAGAATAATTAATTTATCATGATCTAGAGCTCAATGAGAAGAATAACGGACTCGTAATGAACCGATCACGCGGCAAAAAATTAACGATATAATAAAAAGCATTGTAATAGAATTTAATCACGAGTAGAAATAAAAAGTAATAATAAAAGCTAATATATTCTGGTAGTTTATCATGTTATATATAAATTATAGTTAATAATAGATTACGGCACTTAATAAGGATGACATTGATTAATTTAAAATAAAAGTAACAATTTTATACATGTTACATTATTCTGAGTCAATTTCATTTTAAATTATAGACAGAATTAACTACTCTGTCGATTTAATCGATTTAATTAAAAAAGTGTTTTATAAAAGATCAATTATTCACTACTAAAATAATTAATTCACTCTAAAATGCACTTTAATTTTCGTTGTTATGTTTCTCACATCAATGCACACGATTAATTGAAGATTGCACCCTCTCATTCGAGATCAAGATTGTGAGGGATGTTTCGTTTTCTCGCCATCGTTCTTGTCGCACCTCCTCTTACCCTCGTGCTCAAGAAGTTTCTCCGTATACAAGCCGCTCCTTCATCGAACATCCGGTTTTTTTTACTCGAGACTCGTTGTACTTCGTATCACGATCCACTCTTAGAGGCAAACCAATTCCACGGTTGATCGGCTTAACCGAGAGCCGAAATAACCTGAAATCTGGACGCCGGGAAGTTCTTTTTGGTAATTTCGAAAGTACCCCAAAAGCCACTGCTTATTTTCCGGCGCGCCTGAAAAGAAACTTTACAGCAAAGGAGGAGTTCTACTTGTAGAAAGAAAGAGAAGAGAGTAGCACCTCTTATCAGAAAGAATACAGAAGTCAACTTTTACAATTTAGTCTCCTTAATCAATTACTGTAAAAGACAATTCTTTAAATTGGTCCAACTTCATTTTCCAATTTTGCTGACTTTGTCTGACATTGTCCGTTTCTGAGAGAAATTTACTGCATCGTTTATTCATGCCAAAGAATACATTTGGTATATCTAGCTTAGTGCTTGATAAAAATTTAAAACAGTACTCTCCCATTCTTATTTATGTTGCTTTACATATATTAGGTACTACTACGAACTCATTGCTTATTTGTCACGATTTTTTAACCTAAATAATTTCATATCTTTCTTTGCGATAATATATTATATAAAAAATTTAGAAATTCATTCAATCTTTGCGATATTACCAAAATTAAAAAATGTAAAGTTGTATAGAGTTTATTATTAAAAATTTTGTCTTTATTTTTATTTTATGTTTCAGTTTATTTTTATTTTTATTCTATATATTAGTTTATTATGATAAGCTTACTTTGCGAAACAAACAATGGAATAGAATGGAAACAGAAACGCTTTTCCTCCTCTATCTCAAACATCGATCTTTAACCTAAGGTTTATGCATCCCTTGTGATGCTGCGTGCCGTGTGGAGTTGTAAATAAAGTCCCTGCTTTTATGCGTCCGTTCGATCCGGGTCACATGAGCAGCGACAAGTTGCGTTTTCATGGAAAATCCAACATTGCATTATTTGCAAGCTGCAAGTTACGCGGGGCCATAAAACAGAACTACACGCGCACGAAACAGCGACATTCGGCTCCCATGCGACTCCACAGTCGTTTAATTACCACGAAGCCGCGGTCATTTACAGAGATCTTTCTCGTCGAAAGGAAATTTCATTCCCGACCAACGAAAAATTTTAGCTCGACTTTTCTATCCTCTCAAACTTCGCGAAGTTTCCCATTTTTTTAAATCTTTCTTAGCATAATAATATTCAAAACTAAAGTTTGGAACATTCTAGTTATTTTCTTTTTCCTCATGAAACTTGAGAATGATCATTAAATTGCGACACTAAAATTGTCGAGATTGTCAACTACGTTCATCGACCGCGTGTACTCATATATTACTGCCCGCTATATCTTTTATGAACGCGAGGAATCATGCTCGAACCGTAATAATCTCACTCTGTGTTACCTGCCACGCGAAATAGGATTTACGTCTCGAGCAGAGCGACGCTAGATGCCTCGGTAGCTTTCGGGATGTAAATTACGACGGTGACCGCCAATGTTACTAACTCTAACGCCGCTTTAAGGTCGAAGTATTATACGACAATGGGCACCGACCTGGTTCACCGTGCTCTTTCCGATGTTCGCCTGCTTTATGTCTCCCTCGACGCCGCGACGCTTACTGCAGTAAATAAGAATCGGGAATCACATCGAGCCCCCCGACGTGCAAATCTTCTTTCAAATATAGTACATATTTTGCCCTTCTGACCCTTTAAAATTACGTTGATGTCGTTTTACGATACATACGACACAGAAAGTAATCTTTTCTCAGCATCAAGTCGAATTTCGTCAGAATTAAGAAAGAGAAGGAGCAAAGTTTATTCCATAAATAAATGTGAAATTCAATTTCAAAAAATAATAATTGTAATAACACATTTTAAATTAAGACACTTTGTACTTTTGCCATCATGTTCTTATAGTTAAATTATTTTTTAGAGAGAATTTTATTAGATTTTTATAATTAAATTTTCTAAAACTAACGCTTTGTTTTAAAAATTTATTTATTTAACTAAATTCTATTTATCAAAATTAAATTTTTTTAAGGAACTTTATGCGCCCTCGTAACGCTATAAATGTGTCGTAGTAAAAAGAACAAGGAACAATGTGTAATTTTTTATAATAAAAGTCATAATAGGTAATAGTTATGTGAATTACAAAGGAACAAGTGATTTGGAACATTCAGAAAAGTGTACGTCTATGAAAGAAGCCTATCACACAGAGAATATCTGAGGAAAACTCGTCGTAAAAATGCGGTTTCATCTCAGCGGCCTGAGATTTCCAGCATCCATGAGGAAAAGTGTGCTTTTATTGGGACAATATCTGAATTGCTTTTGGACGTGTACCCGAGGCTTAATGTCAGCCTCCGACCCTATTCTCTCTCTTTCTCTCTCGTCTCTCTTGATTTCTGTCGCATGTCCTGCCTCTTCTCCTTGGGGGCGCGAGATTGTCGACCCGATTGAATTTTCTACAGTTCTAGATGACGATACCGAATCATCTCCTGGCGTTTCCATGTCTAGAAGCGAGAATTGATCGTGAAGAATTATCGGATTCTCGATAGTATTCGCGCCTTCGTATTACTTGTTTTTTGACCTTCCTACTTTTATTTCTTCGATATTTGATGTGATTTCACTATTTAATAGCAGACAGAAATAACGCAAAATATATTCAGTCGACACAAGTCTTAATAGCTTCTCTAGCGAATTTAAAGATGCATATTTCTTTACAAAAATTAAATTGATGCAAATGTTTAGTTATGAAAGTTATTAAATGTTAAAAGTGTAAATATTGAACAAGATATTACATCTCGCAATTAATTGAAAATAATATTTATTTTAATAGAAACTCAAAGTTATAATTGCTAAGATATTTATCTAAGAAAAATTACAAAATTGCGATGAATAATAATTTCTTATAAAATTCATTGAGGAAATATCGAATTTATATTCAGGAAAAATCTGCTATAAAAATAATACTATGAAATTATACAGCTTCGTAGTTATTAGTCATTACGTATTTACGAAACACAGTTTTTATATAGATACTTCAAAACTGTTCTTTAGCCAACAATTAATTTGTATCTAGCAGACAGCAGGA